CAAAACCGTAACGGAGGACAAAGTATAGTCCTCCGTAAGGTCTACGGAGGACGGTGCCAAAAATGGTCGATTGGAGGACAATCCTCCGTAACGGAGGACGTCTGGTCACCCTAGTTTCACTCGCATATTGTATTCACAATCAATAGTAATGCTAAACTAATTGTAATTTTCAAAATAAATATTTTAAATTGTTGTCATTTAGTTTAACATGTTTGCAATTATTAGCTGATTAATGTATGTGCTATTTATGTTTCATTTTATTTATTTATAATAAATAAATTCTAAATGAATATGTATAAATGTTGGACTTTTATAATTAATTCCCAGTTATTATGGCCAATAAAATGCCAGTTATTAGAAATAGAATTAGAAATAAAGTTATAAAGTGATTAATAAATTTATATTTTACAAGATGTTAAATTATAAAGATAACTTTAATTAAATATAATTTAATTAATTAATTAATTATAAGTAATATTGACAATTATGTTACAATTAGCAATGATGCTTTAAGTGTGTCTAGCTTTATCTAGCTCTATTAATATTAAATTATTTAAAAATAAAAGTTGATTTTTTTGTTCTAATTATAATAATTAATTACATTATTTTATTGTGGTTCCACATTCTTATATTTTTAACAATCAATTAGTTAATAATGACATTAATAAATATGGTGTAGAATATTATTATATTGTATAAAATAAAAATATCCCAGTTCCATTTTATTAAATAGTTTACTAAATAAAATTATTTGACATTAATTAATTGATTCATTATCACTTTATTTTTGACAATATAAGTTATAATTAAATTAACCTATTTAAAGCTCCATAATTTACTATCGTGATATTTGTCAGTAAACAATATCAATTATTTGTTTAGTAAATTTGACACCATTTAATTAATAATATACCTGTTGTTTTTAATATACATAATATACATTTTTCATAAACAAAATTTTATATAAATACCAGAGTTTTAGTTATAAAACAATAATCAACATTTACCTCAAGCAAGATAATAAACTAATAATCATGATAAAATTTATTAAAATTGTAGCATTTCTATTAATTATTGCGTGCATAACATCTGCTCAACGTGGTAGTCAATGTTAAGTTTATAATATTATATTTTAAGTTTATTTTTATTTCTATTCTAGGTCCTAAATGTGCAAACGGTTACTATTCAACATGCGGTTCTAACTGTCCGATCACGTGTGAAAACTATAACAATCCGCCGACATTTTGTGACTTTGTTTGCCGGGTTGGGTGTGTTTGTAACAAAGGCTATGTTCTGTCCGGCACACAGTGTGTGTCACAATCAACGTGCACTTAAACCTCGCTCTTAAACCAGGTTTGACCGTGGTCTTATATAGTATTATATTGTAATATTTGTGAATTATTTTATAGACACTTCAATAAATGACACTTGATAAATGTAAATTTTGTTTACTATTAGATTACCAAACTATATGCTTTGATTTATGTAGATGTTTTTAATTTTAGAGTACTATTGTCTGTTAATAATTTATCAATTGTATTGTTCTTGAAAAATTAATAATTACATTGTCTTTTTAGATTTTTTATATTTCATTTGGAACATGTTCCTTTTGTTCACACTGATTATTAATTTTAAAAACATTTATACTCTTTACATTATGTTATAAAGACTTTACATTTACCTTTTAAATAAAGTAACATTTATTTCCGCAAACATCTGTTATTTTTAATTTATGAAATTACCTCAAGCAGTACCTCACATTAATTTATAAAATTGAAAATATTTTAAAATAAAAGTATATAAGGATTGGAATAATTAAAAAGTTGAGACAAAAAACTACACGCTAAATATTCTATTAAACATGACTAAAATATTGGTGATTACTTTAATTTTAATTATTAACGCTTGTATTATATCCGGACAAAGTAAGTTACACTATTACAACATTTAATGATATAAGTTAATTACAATAAACTTAACATTTTACAAATTGATCAAGTTCGGCAGCGTATTCGAGCACCATTGCCGGTATGCGTGAATGGCAAATACAGTTCGTGCGCTAGTCTATGCGAAAAAACATGCCAAAATGTCAACAGTCCACCCATGATGTGCGCTGCGGTTTGCGTTAACGGATGTGTCTGTAACCCGGGTTATATCAAGGAGTCTAGTAATAGCCTACGATGTGTGGCGGCGGCGAATTGCGCATGATAATGTTGTATCTATGTGTAATTTATACCATAATTATAAACTGTAATTTTTTCTTTTTATTCTATTGGTATTTTATAAGCTAACTGAATAAAGGTTATTTTGGAGTGAACAAGTAAATGTTAATTTACGTTTTATAATTATTTTGTTTATGTGCCATGTAATCATATTAAACGCGATTATTAAATTTTAATTTTGTGGATTTATTTATTTAAATAAATAAATATTATAAAATAATATTAAAATTATACAAGTCTATTATAAAAAGTATATTAAATATCAATATATCAAATATCAATAATACTTTTATTATTGTAGAATTTCTTTAAAAATATAAGTAATGTAACATTTAATGTTGGTAGAATTTTTATATATAAAATGTGCATTGATGCAAAATAATACACATACACTATACAAATGATTTCATTGATTATTTATTACTATGTTAAAGCATATGTTAATAATCTGTTAATAAACTGAAATACATTTATTATAAGATTATAAATAATGATAGTATGAAATAATTATACAACTTAATTGTGAGAAGGGAAAAATAACTGAATATTTTTAATACACATATTAACATCTATGAAATCATTTTAAACATAATTTTAATATAATTCCATTTATAGTCTTAATATATTTCATTTTATATGTAGCATGTTGTTAAAATGAAATAGTTTTACTACACAATAAAAGTATAGATAATGTATAAATTAGTATGTAATTGTACATTGGAAATTTCAATATTGAGGATTTAGTTTAAAAATCGTGTGATAATATATTGAAATTCATATATTGCTACAATAAATTTATAGATTGAAAGATTATATGAGATAAATATATGGTATATAAACCAAGATTTAAGGCATGATTTTTCCAAAACTTTACTACAATTAATACGACAAATTATCAAAATAGTTAGTTAAAAATCAGATTCACAATTGTTTTTCTGGTGGTTACCATTAGCTTGAACTTAAACTTAGCTTATGGTAAATCGGTTGAAGCCGATGCTCTGGGTAAGTAACATATAATAGTGTAAAACTCAAATTAAAATATACAAGTAATCTAGCTAATATATATTTTATTTTTCCCCATTAAGCAAATGATTGTCTTTGCGGTGATGTTGCGAGAAATATATGCGGTAGTATTGCCAACAAACAGACCAATGGGGGTATAATATTGAAAGGTACCTGTTTGAAAAATGGTCTGTACCGGTGCCGGAGTAATGTGCCGGTGTATTGCCGTACGCCCTAAACCAAAAAGCCAAGCTCAAACTCATTTGTCCCGATTGCCAGCGTAGTTAATGGAAACTGTTCCAGGTAAAAATTAATATAAAATTTCTTATTTTAAATCCATTGGAATAAATTATATTACGTTAAGATTTTAAATTATAATAACACCAATATGGTTTTATGTTTAGACATGGTATTTAACATATATTAAGTTAAAAGTAACAAATTGAAACAATAAAATTAATTTCGTTTGTTTTTTTCTTACTAGACCCGGTGCTGTGCCAATGCGGTGGTGTGGCCGGCGATCACTGCGGCGTTAGGGCCAACATTCCCGGCGCTAACGGCGAGTACACCCTAATAGGCGAGTGCCGTCCCGACGGCTACTATACCTGTAAAGCGGGTGGAATTCAGGCTCAGTTGAAGTTTGTGTGTCCCATATGTGCCGTCAATGATGTCGATGGTATGGATAGTTGCAACTCTGCTTTTATCGCTAATCAAGCTTAATAATTAATCTCAAATTAATTATTTTTTATGAACTATTTAATTAATCTTAATGTTTTCTAAATTTTTATTACTGGCCAATGTAATCGCAATCTATTGTAATATTAATAGTTTTAAATAAAGTTTATTTATCAGCAAACTCTTGATACCGACTTTATTACTTTCTATTATTATAAAGATCTTTAGCTTAAAAATTTTTACATTAATTTTGTTTCGCAAAACATCATAACACCATCGTAAGTACTTATTTTATAGAGTTATCATAAAAGTAAAATTTTTATGCATTCTATGTTTTTACAGCTAACAAAATAAAAACTATTAATTTGAACTAGGTTGGTATAACAATTATCATAATAATAAATTGGAATAAAAAATTATATCATATGATAAACTATTTTATAATTAAATAATAATTATAATTATTTCTATAACTGTAACTAAATGAATGTTTAAACTACTTTCTCAATGACTATTATTGATTGTCTGAAATTTTACTTGTTTAATTAAAAATCATGAAAAATATTAACATTTTAATAAACATTATTTTACACTTTTTCATATGTACTATAAATTCACTACCAACAACAAATCTGACCCAACAAGGCAAGTGTGATAAACAAACTAGTTTTATTAAATAAACAACTAACATAAATCATTGTAAAGTTATAACTAATAGATTAGGCTATAAAGTTATTGTGATTGTTTATTTAATGAACGAGTTAATTTTAGCTATTAATAAATACTAATAAATCTAACAACCAGTTGAAGGGGGCAACCCATGCACGTGCACTCTATGGCGAGGCAACCACTGTGGCTATCGGGCCAACCTTGACATCGATCCATACAAACAACAGTCGCCTCTAACTGGCGATTGTGAACCCAAAGGTCTGTAACTATGATTTTTATACTATGTTAATAATAAAACATTATAAAACACAAATCCATCTCAATGAAACATCAAGGTCTATACAGTTGTTACGATGTGGGTGGTGTGGCTACACTGAGACAGCCCTGTGCCTACTGTGACGGCCGCTTCCAGGTGTATGGCATAGACAAGTGTATAATAGACACCGAGTGTCATTGCAATGGACAGGAGGGCACGTTCTGCTACGATAATAATATTCGTACGTATAATGTGTTTGAGGGCCAGTGCCGGAGCAGCTCTATATACCGGTGCGCGGGCAGCACTAGCAAAGTGGCCCAATACGTACAGCACTGTCATAATTGCCTCGATAGTAGAGATAGTGTGTTAGGCAAGGGTGAGGCCTATTGCGGTGAGTGATACCTTAATCATTTTTAATACATTTTTATACTAATAAACAGTTACCTTTGTAAAACTCAGCATTACGAAGGGAGGGGCTATTTAATAACTAACTATTTATGAAAATTTATACAAGTAAAATATACAAATTTTTACATGTTCTTATTAATTATCAAATCTAGATGAACCATGCCGGTGTGGTTTGTTAATGGGCAAGCATTGTGGCAGTTGGGCCTACGTTGACAGTCCGGACGGCCATGTGCTGAGCGGCAATTGCACGGCACAGGGCCTATACGAGTGCACCCAATCGGGAGGAGTTGCAAAACTACTGAATACGTGTCCGCTATGCACCCAAACTGCTAAAGCTTTTGGCAACGACTCGTGCGACCAATCGGTGCGCTGTACGTGCGGTGAGAGCACCGGACGCTTGTGCTCAGACAATGTTAACAGTGAATTGAAAGGCATTTGCAACAAAAACGGTATCTATCAGTGCGACAAACCTCAAGCGGAGGCCCTGTTTGTGCAGCACTGTCACGAGTGTCATCAAAGTGAGCCTGGTCACGCTAAATGCAGTAAGTGAACATGAATTTTTATATCCTTGCATTAATAATACGAGTGCAAAACAAATTTTTTTGTAATTGCATCTTGGTACTGTACATGTAGCTGGTACGTGCCGGTGCGGTGACATACTCGGTCAACACTGTGGCAGTCGGGCCGGTGAGGGCGAGTTTAGCCGCAAACCAATTTTGAGCGGCAATTGTCTGCCCAATCGACTCTACAATTGCATCGAAAGTGACAAAAATTCTCATTATATCGATGAGTGCGACAATTGTTACGTTAATAACACCGTTGGTTCGGACAATTGTTATCCGGGTATGAAGTAATCACATTTGTTAATGATACTAATAATAGTAAGTTTGTTAAAAATTAATGCAGCTAGCAACTGTATGTGCGGTAAGCCTTTACGCACACACTGTGGCAGTAGAGCCGATGTAGACACAGAATACGGCCCACTATTGACCGGAGAGTGCGATCCGGACGGCCTGTATCTGTGCCTCGAGTCATACACTTCGGCCCGACTTAAGTCGTGGTGCGCCGAGAAATGTCAACTGAATGCGGGCACTGGCAATGATTTGTGTCAATCAGGTTTGTTAAATATAATTAATTATAAATATATTATTTAGCTATTAATGTAAATTATTCACTTACAATACCAGATACTGTTACTGTACCAGATGATGAATTAGATAAACATGGCAGTTTTATAGACAATAAACCACTAATGTATTCGTTGCCACTATTGATAATTATTGGATTACTAGTGGTTTATTATTTAACAAGATATTTATTTTTAAAATGCGTAAACTATCAAAATAAAATAGAGATGGAGATCACCATAGATAAAACAATGTCAACTGCATTGAGTAATATTTCGGAGCCTGATTGTTTTCCATCCGAGGTCACTATTTGCCCTAGTGACAAAATTAACTCATTTTTTGCTGATATTGAGCGTATTGGTGCTGGAACATTTGGGGAAGTGTACAAGGGTAAACATAAATTTACCAGCAAAACTTACGCTATCAAAATGACCGACCTTAGTAAATATTTAACCAAATGTTACTAAATAATTTATTTGCTAATTTTAATTAATTGTGAAACAATTTAGATACGTCATCAATCAAGGAGCTAGAGATTTTGCTATACGTACAGAGCGTTCATGTGGTTGAATATTATTCATTTTGGTCAGAGAATAATAACTTGTTCATTCAAATGGAATATTGCCAAGATACATTAAAAAACATTTTAAAATTGCGCTTGGGAGCATTTGACAGAAAATGTAGTCAGCCTATGTGTGTAGTCGAGTATTTCATATTTACCGAAATTTTCCGGGAACTTCTCGAAGGCGTTCACTATTTACATTCCCTTCAAATACCTATCATCCATCGTGATCTAAAACCGGCAAACATTCTCATATCGTATGATTACGTTAATGAGAGACAATTTAT